TGAAAGCAGCTCCTGGGTGAGCAGTGAGGGCCCCCTGGCACGAGGCATCCTCATGTTCAGCTGCAGAACCAGAGGTCTGATGACTTTTGTCGGTGGTTTTTTCACAGCTGGCGGGGGAAATGATGCGTTTCCAGACACTGATATAGGGCAAAATAATCCGTGTGCAGACATGGGATCCCAGACTGAGCTGGGTTGGAAGGGACCTCAAAACCCATCCAGTGCCACCCCTGCCATGGGCAGGGACACCTTCCACCAGCCCAGGTTGCTCCAAGCCCCGTCCAACCTGGCCTTGGATACTTGCAGAAACGGGGCAGCCACAATTTTCTGGGAAAACAAGGGCTCAACTATTTTTTTTTGTATTTTGGACTTAGGGTTTAATGCAACTTGATGCAGAAATCAAAAAAACCCAAACTTTTTGACATTATCCCCATATTCCCAAAGAATTCTTGATCTTGTGATCTTATTTATCTAAAAATAAATAAACTGTATCTTAGGAGATTACTGTCTCCAGAACACAAAATGAAATCTTCTGCTGTGGGATATCATTTCATGCCATGGTTGTCTTTGTCAGGCCAGGCTGGACGGGGCTTGGAGCACCCTGGGCTGGTGGAAGGTGTCCCTGCCCATGGCAGGGGGTGGCACTGGGTGGGCTTTGAGGTCCCTCCCAACCCCAACCATTCCCTGGTTCTGTGATTCTCACCGTGTAAGGGGATCACTGCACAGACAGAAACAAGTCAAGTGCAGAAGGAAAATCTTCCTCTCTCCTGAGACAGCAGTGAAAGTGTTGCCCAGCAAGGCTGGTCCTTGGAGGTTCTGGGATACACCTGGAGAGAGCCCTTAATAGCCAGGAGTGATGCTGGAGCTGGCCTTGTCCTTGTCTTCCTGTGTGTTTAGGTTCTCCAGGCTGCTGGTTCTCCCTGTTTGCCAGCTCCCCTCTCCCTCCAGCTGCTCCCCCCTTCTCCTCTGCCTTTCTTTGCTTCTGCTGCCCCCCATTCCCCAGCCCTTGGCTCTTTCCCCTTTGCTTGGCTGCTCTCCCTCCCTCCCCTGGGTTTATCTGTCCCTCCTCTGCACTGTGCCTGTCCCTTGGCCCTGCTCCAGCCTGGGCAGATCCCTCCTCCCCTCTGGGCCTGCAGGAAGTGGCTCCTCTGTTGTGGAGACACAACACCCTTCGCTCTTGGCTTCCCTGTCGCTTCCTGAGCAGGTGCTGGACTGTGATTGTGGTCTGTGCACACCCAGGAGTGTGACTGTGGTCTGTGCACACCCAGGAGTGTGACTGTGGTCTGTGCACACCCAG